AGTGTCAGACAGAGTTATTCCATTCAGTATTCCTCTATAACTCGATTTCTCTAATTTTCCTATAAAACTTCATCACTAATTTCACTAGCATTACAAAAAGGGGGTATTCCCACTTAGGTGGAGATGGGGTAGTCAATGTTTGACTAGCTACCTGCAGGTTTTGGTATTCTATGCCAAGATTGCCATCTGGCCCCTGCGTGTTCCATCCTTCAGGAGCACTGTCCTGAAAAGCTTCTGGGAAGTTTATGTTCTCCTCCATTCCGTGCTGCTTATCAAAGGTTAGCTTAGTCTTTGGCAAAAATGCAAGCCAAAGCAAAGCCAATAGTATAATGGAGAATAACAAAATAAGGTGGGTAATAGGGGGAACCAGCTGCAAGGGCCCCTGCTTTGTGGGGGTCTTCCTCCAGCCTGAGCTACACAGCTTGAGTAGCATGGCTCCCACCATCTCCCCCTTTTTTATTTTTTAAAGCAAGTTTTAAAGTCTTCAGTTTTAAATAGGTTTTTTTTACACTTTTGCTTAGCAGTCAGAGGAAGACTGGAAGGAGGAACACAAGAAGAAAAATAATTAATGCTGAAATTCTTAAATTTATAAAAGAAGAGAAGCAAGCAGAGGTAGAGGTATGTTTTACAGTTGCTAAAAAGGAGCCTGCAACTTCAGAGGTGGAGATAGAGGAAGTATGAGCAGTACTAATATCACTAATAGGTTTTTGTAAATTACTCATGTTTAATAATATATTGGTATTTTCTCAAACTCTTAATAAGTGGTTCTAAATTTTATCTCATGAGGTGTCTGAGTAATTATATTTATAAGGAGTAACAAATTTATTTGTAATTACTATAACATTTGAGAAGTTTTTAAATTTTGGACTTGGTTCTTCACATAAAGCAGGGTCCTAGGGCATTAACTTTAGATTTTAATTTTTGATCAATAATCTCTTAAGTGGCTAAAGCTAATGATACATTCTTAGACAACTGATCAATAAGCAGCAGTATGGGTCTCTTGTACTAGGGGCTACAAAACACTTTTTCTGAAATAAGAGAATGCTGGTATCACGAAGTGCTTGGAGTTCATAATCATTAAACTACATAAACTTTAAAGTAACAGGAATTATCCAATATGGGAGATGGTACACAATAAAAATGACTTGCATTATTTTTTACAGAAATACAGGTAGAAAGAATACAAATATAATTTATAATGAATTTATCTATAGTTTTACTAATATTCATAGCAAAAAGACATATGAAGTTTGCAAACAGGCTTGAAGTTGATAAACAGCTTTTCCTGTGGGTTTATGCAGTGTTATTGGTCCGACAGAAGCTACAACTTGCCATAATTCAGACTGTAGGAAAGATTTTTCATTTAGAGATGTAGTTAATATGGGTGGGACTTAAGCATAGCAATAAAGTTTTACTAGTAAAAGGCAAACCCTGAAGGCAATCTACAGCTTTGGCTTCCTCCGTCAGCTTTTCTATCTGGTCTCAGGTCGGAGGGTCACTTTCTCGAGTTGATCTTGCTAATTACTGCCTCGGAAGACTTGGTTGTGACTGGAGCTTCTCAGGAATCTTGCAGAGCGAGGCTCTGTAAACACTGTACTAGAAGATCTTCAAGGTTCTTTGTTGGGCACGGACTTTCACTTCGTCTTGGGAAGTTGTGTGGGGGAGGAGATGGTGGTGGAGACCTGTCTGATGAGTCTGTCTGGTACCCACATGGGTGTATCTGAATCCTGTTTAAAAATACAAGCATATCTCCCACAGGTTATTAAAACATCAGGCCCTTTCTATTGCCCTGTAAGCAGATGTTTCTATTTTACTAAAGGTTTGGAATTAGTTGAAGACAAAAAGCCACAAAATCATTTTCTTTAGTTTACTTAATCTTATGTAACTAATACCTATTCTGCTGAAATCTAGTTCTTTACTAATTTAGGAGTAATCAGTGACTACAAATGACAACAGACTTGTAAATGACAATGTTTAAAGATTTGATGATAGTTTACTGTAAGACAGTTGATAGAAGGAAATTTGGATATTTCTGTAACATAAAACATTCAGTAACAAAGTTTAGCATCATCCTCTTTGACAGTGCTTTCCAGGTAAATATATATCAGATAAATTAGCCAAAT